TTTTGTTTTTAAATGTCTTTCTGTTTAAGTTTCTTAAAGTGTATGGTAACCTGAAACAATGAAGTTCTCTTATTTGCTCTCTTTTGGTTGTTATTATACCATTAGAAGCAATTTGTTTATATCTTGAGAACTGCCAAAAATACCTGTTGGTCATTGCCAGAAAAATTCAGGGTTGGTACTCTACTTGGGGTCCAATGTGTTGTCCCTGGTGCAATTAATGGAGGAGGTGAGACCCATACAGGCTAACTCTGCCCTTAATGTTGTCCATTCTGCGATATTTGCATCCAACTTAGAGATCTTTCAAAGCTATAGAGTTATGACTGCAATTTACAGAGGAGGACTTGGATGTTGGGCACTGTGGCTTATTGCCTATTTTTGCAAACAAGTGGTTGTGCATTGAAGTACTCTGTTTAAAAATTATATGGTTAGACTGGGTTGATATGATTTGTTTGACAGACTAGCATGGTAAGAGAGAATTGCCGGGAAAGAGGGGGGAAAAGGAAATGTGCTTTTGTGTCTTTTGGGTTGCACTTCCATGGGCAGCGATTGACTGATTCGGCGAATTCGTGAAAAAATTTCGATTCGAGTCGAATATATTCGCTGCGAATTTAACTTATAAAAGGGTGTTTCTAGGCTTCAGAGAGCCTTTATATTAGTGCAGAACACTGTACCTTTAATTTAAATGCCCTTGGAGTCTGCTGGGGAAGAGAAATAATACTGACAGTCAGTATGACATGCAGATGAGTGCCGTCGATCTTAGAATCACCGCACACTTCACTCATTTGGGCAGTCACGGGGCCAAAACCAGAGTGTGGAGCCACAGTGTGGCGGTGGAGGCAGCAGCAATGGGAGGCCATACAGCACCCTATGACAAAAATGGAAACCACCAGCAGTGTGAGGAGACCTGAAAGTGGCACATGGCAGAGTGTGGCGATGGAGACAGCAGCAATGGGAGGCCGTACAGGGACCCATGACACACTCTGGACCTGGCAGCAGCATGAGGAGGCGGGGTACAGGGGCCCATGACAGATTACGGGCCCTGGCAGCAGCATGAGGAGTTGGTACGGGGGCCCATGGCAGATTACGGGCCTGGCAGCAGCAATGGGAGGCCGTACAGGGACCCATGACACACTCTGGACCTGGCAGCAGCATGAGGAGGCGGTACAGGGGCCCATGACAGATTACGGGCCTGGCAGCAGCATGAGGAGTCGGTACGGGGGCCCATGACACACTCTGGACCTGGCAGCAGCATGAGGAGGCGGTACAGGGGCGCATGACAGATTACGAGCCTGGCAGCAGCAACTTGGACAGGAGGACGTTCAGCTTCTGCACCGTCGGGTGCGTGCTCGCAAACTGTTGTCTCTTGGAAACGGATTCCAAGAAAGACTGCTGACGGAATCCGTGAAGAGGAGTAGCAGGAGAAGGAGCATCTGAACGAGCGGAATATGCCAACAAGCGACAACAGGGGCCCATGACAGATTACGGGCCTGGCAGCAGCATGAGGAGTCGGTACGGGGGGCCCATGGCAGATTACGGGCCTGGCAGCAGCAATGGGAGGCCCGTAATCTGCCAGCACCCTATGACAAAAAATGGAAACACACCAGCAGTGTGTGAGGAGACCTGAAAGTGGCACATGGCAGAGTGTGGCGATGGGAGACAGCAGCAATGGGAGGCCGTACAGGGACCCATGAGAGACTCTGGACCTGGCAGCAGCATGAGGAGGCGGTACAGGGGCCCATGGCAGATTAGGGGCCTGGCAGCAGCTATGGGAGGCCCGTAATCTGCCAGCACCCTATGACAAAAAATGGAACCCACACCAGCAGTGTGAGGAGACCTGAAAGTGGCACATGGCACAGTGTGGCGATGGAGGACAGCAGCAATGAGGAGGCCGTACAGGGACCCATGAGAGACTGTGGACCTGGCAGCAGCATGAGGAGGCGGTATGGGGGCCCATGGCAGATTAGGGGCCTGGCAGCAGCAATGGGAGGCCCGTAATCTGCCAGCACCCTATGACAAAAAATGGAACACACCAGCAGTGTGAGGAGACCTGAAAGTGGCACATGGCCAGAGTGTGGCGATGGAGACAGCAGCAATGGGAGGCCGTACAGGGACCCATGAGAGACTCTGGACCTGGCAGCAGCATGAGGAGGCGGTACAGGGGCCCATGGCAGATTAAGGGGCCTGGCAGCAGCTATGGGAGGCCCGTAATCTGCCAGCACCCTTGACAAAAAAATGGAAACACACCAGCAGTGTGAGGAGACCTGAAAGTGGCATGGCATGGCATGGAGACAGCAGCAATGGGAGGCTGTACAGGGACCCATGCGGAGACTTGGAGCCTGCCTGCAGCATGAGGAGGCGGTACAGGTACAGGGGCCCATGGCAGATTAGGGGCCTGGCAGCAGCTATGGGAGGCCCGTAATCTGCCAGCACCCTATGACAAAAAATGGAACACACCAGCAGTGTGAGGAGACCTGAAAGTGGCACATGGCAGAGTTGTGGCGATGGAGACAGCAGCAATGGGAGGCCGTACAGGGACCCATGAGAGACTGAACGAGCGGGACCTGGCAGCAGCATGAGGAGGCGGGCGGTACAGGGGCCCATGGCAGATTAGGGGCCTGGCAGCAGCTATGGGAGGCCCGTAATCTGCCAGCACCCTATGACAAAAAAATTGTAACACACCAGCAGTGTGTGAGGAGACCTGAAAGTGGCACATGGCAGAGTGTGGCGATGGAGACAGCAGCAATGGGAGGCCGTACAGGGACCCATGAGAGACTCTGGACCTGGCAGCAGCATGAGGAGGCGGTACGGGGGCCCATGGCAGATTAGGGGCCTGGCAGCAGCAATGGGAGGCCGTAATCTGCCAGCACCCTATGACAAAAAATGAACACACCAGCAGTGTGAGGAGACCTGAAAGTGGCACCACAGAGTGTGGCATGGAGGTGGTACAGGGACCCTGGCAGACTGGCAGCAGCATGAGGAGGCGGTACAGGGGCCCATGGCAGATTAGGGGCCTGGCAGCAGCTATGGGAGGCCCGTAATCTGCCAGCACCCTATGACAAAAAATGGAACACACCAGCAGTGTGAGGAGACCTGAAAGTGGCACATGGCAGATGTGTTGTGGCGATGGAGACAGCAGCAATGGGAGGCCGTACAGGGACCCATGAGAGCACTCTGGACCTGGCAGCAGCATGAGGAGGAGGCGGGTACAGGGGCCCATGGCAGATTACGGGCCTGGCAGCAGCAATGGGAGGCCCGTAATCTGCCAGCACCCTATGACAAAAAATGGAACACACCAGCAGTGTGAGGAGACCTGAAAGTGGCACATGTTTGGGGCATGATTCATGGCGGATTTAGTCAGTTGTGTCAGGAACTGGTGGTTTGAAATCCAGACTAATCCACGCCTGATTCATTTTCACAAACGTGAGTCTCTCCACACTTTGGGTGGACAGTCGTTGTCCTCCGCGGGAGTTACAATACCTCCTGCCGCACTAAACACGCGCTCCGATGCCACGCTACTGGCGGGCATGACAGCCTTTCAAGGGCAAATTCAGCTAGTTGGGGCCAAAGGAAGTTTCGTTGCCCAGTAGTCAAGGGGATTGTCTACCTCGGTTGGCAGGGTGCTGTCCAAGTAGGCCCAAGCTGTTGTTTGAGGTCCTGCTCCAGGTCCACACTGATGCTGCTGCTGCTGCTGCGGCTGGTTAGTAGTTTCCTCCTCACTGCGCTGGTGAAGAAAGCTACTCATCATCGACTGCAGACTGAGGCAGCCGCTGCTGGTGGAGCTGCCACTGCTCCTACCACCCCACCCCTCCCCTGCTGCCATGGCAGCGGAACGCGAGCGCACAGGGCCCACAGTGTCTGAGGATGGACGTTGGCGCAGAAAGGCAGAGACCAATGACTACATAGGTGGTTTTTATAGTACGTTATTTTGGCCTCCCTCTCAGCAGGTGTGAAAAAGGCCACCATTTTTGAACGGTAGCGAGGGTCCAACAAGGTGGACAGCCAAAAGTCATCCCTCTGTCTGATGGTTATTATTCGGCTGTCGCTACGCGCAAGCAACCGAGCATGCTATGGGCCATTTGTGCCAAGGAATGCGAGGGACTCCCTGCCTCCATTCCACAGCATACTGCCACGGTGCGTCTGGGTCCTCTGTCTCCTCCTCCTCCTCTACCAGATGCTCCTGCTCTTCACACTCCTGTCCGCTGAGTGGAAAAACCACCCATTTCATCAATAATTCCTGAGCACAATGTCCTCCTCTACCTCCTCCTCTTCTTCCTGTCTGCCCCACAGGGGTCATGTGGCGTTGAGATCTGTGCGCCCGTCTACCGCACCCTGACCAGCCATTGTTAACAGCATTTGTTCCAGGACGTGCAACAGAGGAATGACGTCGTTCATCCCATAGTCCTGCCGACTCACGAATAGCGTGGCCTCTCAAAGGGCCTGAGCAAGCGGCAGGTGTCACGCATGAGCTGCCAATGGCTGACATCGAAGTTACACAGGGGAGTACCTTTATCCGCTTGTAACATCAGGAAATCGGTGATGGCCTTTCGTGTTCGTAAAGGCGGTCTAACATGTGTAGGGTTGAATTCCACCTTGTTGCAACGTCGCAGATCAGGCGATGCTGTGGAATTCCGTTCTGCCGCTGCAGCTCAAGGAGGGTGTGCTTTGCGGTGTAGGAATGGCTGAAATGCATGCAAAGTTTACGTGACATTTTAAGGATGTCTTGCAGTGGGATGGTGGATTTTAGGAACCGCTTGACAACCAGATTGAACATGGTGAGCCATGCATGGCGCATGGGCACAACCTTCTTGACGCAGAGCAGACACCATGTTCTTTCCGTTGTCGGTCAACATGGTTCCGATTTTCAGTTTGCGGGCTGGAGACAGCCATCTGTCGATTTCTCTGTTCATTACACTCAGAAGTTCCTCCCCTGTGTGACTAAATGTTCGCCAAGGCATACCAGGTGCAGCACAGCGTGACACCGTTGCGCCCTGCACATGTGATATGCGGTGGGTAATGGGACTTGGCAGGGGGGGTGGCGGCTGAGGACACGGCGGAAGAAGAGGTGGTAGAGGCGGACATTTTTGTGGGACAAGGACGTGCAAACGTGGAGGCAAAAGCGGGTGACCGTCCAAGTTGATGGTGCGGCTGGCCGGCACCACGGTTACCCAGTGGGCGTAAATGACATGTACTGTCCTGACCGATAGTTACAGCTCCACACGTCGGCACCGTGCACTTTGGAGAGACGGAATGCTGGCACTGGCCCCATCGTGTTCTACATGTGAATGCAGGGCTGGCACTGGGAGGTCCGGCGAAGATTTCCATGACGGCTTGCACTCTCCACCGCGGCGCGGCACATGCCAGGCGGTCGGAAAGGTGCTGAGTCCACCACTTGGAAAGGGGGGACTGCAGCACCAGCACTGTTTTGGACAGGGGAACGTTCAGCTTTATGCACCGTGGGTGCGTGCTCAAAACTGTTGTCTTTGGAAACGGATTCCAAGAAAGACTGTGAGGAATCGTTGAAGAGTGGTAACTAGGAGAGGGCATCTGTGCACGAGCGGAAGATGCCACGAGCGGACAACTCCCCTGACAGCAGAGGTGTTGGAGCCTTGGACTGGCTGATAGAGGGCGATTGACGTCGGGTGACGGAGCAAGTACGGAGCGGGTGATGGAGCGGGGGACCCTGGGGCACGGCAGAAACCGCCGTATCGCCGTATCTTTCACGGTTTTTCCCAGGGCCACCAAATGGCGACGCTGAACGCTGCATGCTGACGCAACGTGTGTCCCAACATGGGCCCCCTGGCCACGCTTGACTTTCTGGCACATAGTCGACATACGGTACGTTTACTTCCTCGGGCTGGCTTGACGAGAAAAAATTGCCACACCGCCGAGTAGGAAACTTTTGCCCCGTACTCCTCACTGGCTGACTGCTACTTCCTCCGTGCACACCGGCACCACTACTGGCCGTGGTGGTAGGCTGCAGTGGGAGTGGTGCTCTACTCGTGGCCGTTTGCCTCCACTGACACTGCTGCGACCCTGCTGCCTCCTGGGCAACCCACCGACTGTTTTGCTCGCTGCCAAGCTGCCACCCTCTTCTCCTGATGATGCGGAAGAATCAAGCCTGATGACGACGAGGCTGCCAAGTGCGATCAGCCTCATCATCATCAATTAGGGTCTCCGCCTCACTACTAGCCCCCTCGGCTGCGTGTGTGGGTCAGGAGACAGACCTGTCTCTAGACCGGCTCGAGCCACTCTCCTCGCCACTACTTCTTCGCCTGGCTGCTGAAGAGGCGGATGTCTCCCCCGTTCCTGACCGCCCTCTGTTAGCTCTTCCTCATGTACAGTGGGGCTGAGCCCACAGCATGCGATACTTCGCTTGGTGAGGGAACACCAAAGGACAGGGGCAGGTAGAGGACACGTGATTTCAGTGGGCTTGCTCCCGGGCCATGCCAACTAACGGTTGTGTCTGACGTACCCACCGACCGTTGGCTGTAGGTGTCAGAGGTGACTGGGAAGAGGAAGACGACCGAGCCAACCAATCGATGACGGCAGGGTTGTCGGTGGAGACACGACGCTGGATGACACCGGGAGCACTGGCCTCTGGCTGCGACTAGTGCTGCCTCGACCCTTCCTCTGCTGCCACGTCTGCTCGCTCCTAAAACATTGCCTCCTCTGCCACTCCTCTGCATGTTGTCTGACATACTCTTTAATTAAACGATTCTGTGTCCCTGAGTAACAATTCAATTCCCTGGTCAAATTCTGTTGAGTAACAATTCTGTGTCCCTGAGTAACAATTCTGTGTCCCTCAGTAACAATTCTGTGTCCCTCAGTAACAATTCTGTGTCCCTCAGTAACAATTCTGTGTCCCTCAGTAACAATTCTGTGTCCCTCAGTAACAATTCTGTGTCTGTCCTCAGTAACAATTCTGTGTCTGTCCCTGAGTAACAATTCTGTGTCCCTCAGTAACAATTCTGTGTCCCTCTGAGTAACAATTCTGTGTCTGTCCCTGAGTAACAATTCTGTGTGTCCCTGAGTAACAATTCTGTGTCCCTGAGTAACAATTCTGTGTCCCCAGTAACAATTCTGTGTCCCTCAGTAACAATTCTGTGTCCCTCAGTAACAATTCTGTGTGCCCTCAGTAACAATTTCTGTGTCCCTGAGTAACAATTTCTGTGTCTGTCCCCCTGAGTAACAATTCTGTGTGTCCCTGAAGTAACAATTCTGTGTCCCTCAGTAACAATTCTGTGTCCCTAAGTAACAATTCTGTGTCCCTCAGTAACAATTCTGTGTCCCTAAGTAACAATTCTGTGTCCCTAGTAAGTAACGTTTCTGTGTCCCCTCAGTAACAATTCTGTGTCTGTCCCCTGAGTAACAATTCTGTGTCTGTCCTGAGTAACAATTCTGTGTCCCTAAGTAACAATTCTGTGTCCCTCAGTAACAATTCTGTGTCTCCTGAGTAACAATTCTGTGTCTGTCCCTGAGTAACAATTCTGTGTCCCTCAGTAACAATTCTGTGTCCCTCAGTAACAATTCTGTGTCCCTCAGTAACAAATTCTGTGTCCCTCAGTAACAATTCTGTGTCCCTCAGTAACAATTCTGAGTGTCCCTCAGTAACAATTTCTGTGTCCCTAAGTAACGTTTCTGTGGCCCTAGTAACAAGTAACGTTTCTGTGGCCCTCAGTAACAATTCTGTGTCCCTCAGTAACAATTCTGTGTCTGTCCCTAAGTAACAATTCTGTGGCCCTAAGTAACGTTTCTGTGGCCCTAAGTAACGATTCTGTGGTCCCTAAGTAACAATTCTGTGGCCCTAAGTAACGTTTCTGTGCCCTAAGTAACAATTCTGTGGCCCTAAGTAACGATTCTGTGGCCCTAAGTAAACGTTTCTGTGTCCCTCAGTAACAATTCTGTGTCCCTAAAGTAACAATTCTGTGTCCCTCAGTAACAATTCTGTGGCCCTCAGTAACAATTCTGTGTCTGTCCCTAAGTAACAATTCTGTCTGCCCTAAGTAACGTTTCTGTGGCCCTAAGTAACGGTTCTGTGGCCCTCAGTAACAATTCTGTGGCCCTCAGTAACAATTCTGTGTCTGTCCCTAAGTAACAATTCTGTGTCCCTAAGTAACAATTCTGTGGCCCTAAGTAACGTTTCTGTGGCCCTAAGTAACGTTTCTGTGGCCCTAAGTAACGTTTCTGTGGCCCTAAGTAACGATTCTGTGGCCCTAAGTAACGTTTCTGTGGCCCTAAGTAACGTTTCTGTGGCCCTAAGTAACGCTTCTGTGGCCCTAAGTAACGTTTCTGTGGCCCTAAGTAACGTTTCTGTGGCCCTAAGTAACGTTTCTGTGGCCCTAAGTAACGCTTCTGTGGCCCTAAGTAACGTTTCTGTGGCCCTAAGTAACGTTTCTGTGGCCCTAAGTAACGTTTCTGTGGCCCTAAGTAACGTTTCTGTGTCCCTAACTCTCTCCCTCAATACAGCCAGGTCTGCCTCTGTTGAATGACTGGAGGCAAATGGAGAATTCTAAAATGGCCGCCATTTATAGCTCGACCATTACACAGTGCTGGCTGGCTGGCTGCTGATTGGCTAATGCGATCACATGTCATGAATGAATGCATTATGGGTCTGCGCGCCTTCCCAGACATCCCCGCTCCGTCGCCGCACATGTCGCCGCCATTTTAGGAAAAAATTTCGATTCGCGCATCCGAAGTATGCTAATTTTCGGATTCGTCGCGAATCGAAATTTTCCTAATATTCGAAACGAATTCCACTTCGCCTACTTCGATTTCGCTCATCTCTACTAACTAACAAAACTGACAAAAGCAGCATTGTGTTTTATTCCAAAACTGAATTTACATCTGTGAATAGCTCTGTAGAACTACAATACAATTACATAAACTGAAGTTACAATATGCTTGTATATATGTATCTCACAAATGCTTACAATGAACACATTTCTTGCAAACTGCTACCTACAAATCACATGTAAATGCGATCTAAATATATATGTGACTTTAGGAAACACAACCAATAAACCTACAGGCATATGTATATCAAAGAGAGAAAGGAGGCCTTCAGTGGTGTGTTCTTCTAGAAACTAAAGCTTTATTTTTAACAAACATGAGGCACTTCCTGTTCTTTATTGATAAAAATACAGAAAGGGTGTAATTGCAGTGAATAATCAACAGATGGCTCCCTACTAAACACAATTATGTGAATACAGAACACACCCTAAACTATCCCTTCTAAAACACAATGGGTGCCACAACCCATGCATGTGCCATGTGCCACAACCTGTGCATGTGCCATGTTCCATGTACCACAACCTGTACCTGTGATCAAAGGAATTTAGAGTATCCTCTCTCTGCCCCTAGACCCTCTACTGCATTGTTAGGGGCCAAGGCCCAGTACAGAACTTGGTACAGGAGGTCTGGTTCTACCCCTCTTTCAGCAGTCATGCCAATCACTGCGTCCTTCTTACTCAATTCACATAAATATGCATGCTTGGCAGTTCCAAAATAGGCTGCAAGTAACTTCAAGTCTCTTCTTGCTCTGCAGTGCTTCATGTCAGACAGGCTGCACTTAACATAGTATTGCAGAACTGCTTGTCCCTTTGATGTAGTGGATCTCAGTGTTGGACTGAATAGCATGTAAGGTGAGATTTTTAAGTGGGCACCCAGGTCTCTGCCTATGGCACCAGCCTGACCCATTAAAGCCTTCAAGTATACAATACTTTAAAAAAATAAACAGTATGCACACTATATTTATTTTATATAAAGTATTGGAATCTGCTTGTGCCCAAAATTGTTGTGGTCATTGGAAAGACCTGATCATGGCTCAGCTGCATGACACATTTTCCCTTGCATTACCAGTGTGGACGGGACCCAAATGGTACCCTTTTGGGAGGAATCACACACAGTATTTAGTGCACTGATATAGTCTTATTGGTATCACCAACAGGCAAGTCCTTGGCACTTGATACAACAGTCCAACACACAAAACCAGTCTCAGTATTTGACAAGGTGTGCTACTGGAGTAAGACTTTATTTACCCGGGGGTAGTGTCCCTTGAAGATACCTGAAGAACAGTTTCAGCAATCTGCAATGTTTCAACGCTCCCGAACTGATCACTGAAATGAATGAAGTGTTGAGGAAACTTTCCCTGAGATATCCTTTCTCACCTGGAACCTCTCCCCATATTAATTGCTGTCCCCCACAAACGGGTTCCGGTCGCTATCCAACCACTCATGGAAGTGTGCCAGAGTCATGGTGGTTACCTATTTAAAAGGTTCCCTCACCTAAAATGGCCACTAATTCTCATAAGAATTTTGTGTCAAGTTGGATATCTTCGCTTCTCGAGGCATTGGACAGAATCCCTAAATGAAATGACAAATTCCCTTACAAGACCCATTTTGCATGCTGTGATGGCACAAGGCCACCTACAGCTGGGAAGAGTACATACACCTTCCTCCATACATATGTTGATAGACCTGCTCAATAGGTTAACCGCAACATTGAAAATGGAACGACTAGTTCTGCTTCTAATGAAAAAATCCTGCCAATATCTGGCCCAAGTATCGAGACATTTACTGTCACTTTTTTTTTTAACAGGAAATTAGTGCTGTAGACTCCTCCACTATTTCCTACTCAAACTTTAGGACGAGCAGGAAGACCCGAATTGTTATTCATGGCTTCGTCGATAAAGGAGAAGAAAGCTGGCTGAGCGACATGTGCAAGGTGTGAGTGTGCCAACGCCACGGCGAAATGATTGACAAGTGACCTTTTCTTTCTGTTTTCATCATCAAGCATTTTATTGAGAGACAGAATCAGATTAAAAAATTTCTAGGCACCTCGCCAAAAATACAAAGTGCATAAAACTCAGCAGAAAGATCAGCTTACATGATAAAACATTTTGGAGCTCTCCATCTTCACCTTTTATGGATGGTTTCACAGAAATGACCAAACTAATGAAAACAGATTTAATAATTTGCTTTCTATTGCTTTGCACACTTAAATAAAACAAAGCATTTGTATCAAAGGATAATGATAAAAGCTGGGATACTGTATAGGAACATTTTAAAGAAATATTTAAATAAATATTGAATCAAAGAAACCTCAGTACAATCTTTATAGGGGCAAGTACTGTACTTTACTTATTACTCTAACCCCAAAATAAATGAACTTGCATTTCACAACAGAAAATTAATTGACTAGTGTCCATTTAGTGTGGTGTTATTTATTTTAAATGGTAACCCAAGTCAGATAGCGCTCACCTCATTTGCAGGCTGGAGGAAGTCCAGCAACATCTAGCCTTCATTTCCCAGCTTGACTGTCCCTTGCCCATCCATTTCCACTGCACTTGATCAGCCTTCATCTGCTGCTAACTGTATAATAAAGTACTAATGGATTCTAAACCAATAAAAATCTAACATGATGCTATAGTGAATACTGCTATTTTCCAGTTTACCAATGTTTATGACAATCTGACATCTCTTATCATTAATGTCTGCAGGCAATGCTGCAAGTGGAAGATGTGAACTGTATCTGTGTGGATTGGGTTGGAGGATCCCGCACTCTTTACACCCTAGCTGCAAATAATATCCGTGTTGTGGGGGCTGAAGTGGCCTATTTGGTGGACGTTCTTCATGTAGGTAAAATTCAAGACATGACTGCAAGTATGAATTTAAGGGGAAAGAGGAATGAATCTCATGAATGTTAATACTTTTTTACGTAATGCTGATATCCATGAGATGTCACATATTGCAGATTATCATTACAGTACTGTAATTTCCCAATAGTAGTTCTGTCTTTGCCCCCTCCCACAATAGTGAGATTTCTCTCCAGTAGTTTGTGTCTCTGCCCCTCCCACAATTCTAAGAGTTGCCAGAAGTAGTTTGTGCATCTGCCCCTCCCACAATGGTGACATTTCCTGCAGTAGCCCCTCCCACAATGGTGACATTTCCTGCAGTAGTTTGTGTCTCTGCCCCTCCCACAATTCTAAGAGTTGCCAGAAGTAGTTTGTGCATCTGCCCCTCCCACAATGGTGAGATTTCCTGCAGTAGTTTGTGTCTCTGATCCTCCCACAATGGTGAGATTTCCCTGCAGTAGTTTGTGTCTCTGCCCCCCTCCCAATGGGGAGATTTCCTGCAGTAGTTTGTGTCTCTGCCCCTCCACAATGGGGAGATTTCCTGCAGTAGTTTGTGTCTCTGATCCTCCCACAATGGGGAGATTTCCTGCAGTAGTTTGTGTCTCTGCCCCTCCCACAATGGTGAGATTTCCCTGCAGTAGTCTGTCTCTGCCCCTCCCACAATGGGGAGATTTTCCTGCAGTAGTTTGTGTCTCTGCCACCCTCCCACAATGGTGAGATTTCCTGCAGTAGTTTGTGTCTCTGCCCCTCCCACAATGGTGAGATTTCTTGCAGTAGTTTGTGTCTATGCCCCTCCCACAATGGTGAGATTTCCCTGCAGTAGTCTGTGTCGCTGCCTCTCCCACAATGGTGATATTTCCTGCAGTAGTTTGTGTCTCTGCCCCTCCCACAATGGTGAGATTTCCTGCAGTAGTAGTTTGTGTCTATGCCCCTCCCACAATGGGGAGATTTCCTGCAGTAGTTTGTGTCTCTGCCCCTCCCACAATGGGTGAGATTTCCTGCAGTAGTTTGGGTCTCTCCTCCCTCAATGGTGAAATTTCCTTCAGTAGTTTGTGTTTCTGCCCCTCCCACAATGGGGGGATTTCCCTGCAGTATTTTTTGTCTCTGCCCCTCCCACAATTATGAAATTTCCTTGCAATAGTTGGTATCTCTGCCCCTCCCACAATGGTGACATTTCCTGCAGTAGTTTGTGTCTCTGCTCCTCCCACAATGGTGAGATTTCCTGCAGTAGTTTGTGTCTCTGCCCCTCCCACAATGGGGAAATTTCCTGCAGTAGTTTGTGTCTCTGCCCTTCCCACAATGGGGAAATTTCCTGCAGTAGTTTGCGTCTCTGCCCCTCCCACAATGGTAAAAAGTTCCCTAAAGTAGCTGTGTCATGTCTCATTGAATGAAAAACAAAGATATATCAGCGCTAGGGTATAATAAGTTTAGGATAAAGCTGCTGACACATTTTGTGATACCAAATGAGCATGACAATAGAAACAAACAGTGTAGCTCTATATACCTCTCATCTGAAAAATGTGCCAAACCAAACCTAATATAAATATTAATAAAAATCAATCAGTATATCACACTGTACAAAAAGCAAAAATACAACTCATAAAATCAAAAAAAAAGTGCAAAAAATTCATAAAGTCCTAATAAACAATACCAAAAGTCCCATTTCATAATAGGGAAATAATGAAGGACTTTTCACAAAACAGGTCCAAAATGCCAAGATACACTCATATATGTTGATCATATTTAACATGCACTATTGACCATTGTTTTTGCACATGGTCCACACTATTTGGTAAGAGGCTACCATTTCACTTATGAAAGTATTTGGGCAGGTTGAAACAGTTAGTTAGGCGTTGTCCCGGCCGGAAGGGTATGAGTTATTACCTTCCCAGTTCATTGGTTGTCTTTTGGTTCTTGTCTCGATCCAGCCCACTTGTCCTGTGAGATATAAATTGGGTCAGTGGTCTGGAACAGAGAGTTCTCCCCTAGTGAAGTACCAGGAGGGGTATTTGGAGAGAGTTCTCCTGCAAGGATGCTAGCGCGACTGTGAGTTCCAAGGCCCATAAGGGACTGAGATGGAGGATGAGACTTGGAGGAGCAGAAGGATATTGTTCAACACTGCCCACAAGTAGAGACACTTAACTTGGGGTTCACTCTGAAGACACCAGCATTGGAGTATGCCTCCGAAGGACTTGCATCTGTATGAGAGTGGCTCTGAAGGACTGTAATTGCTGGACTACACTGAATAAGGTATGCCAGGGCAGCACTGAGCCTGTAGTTATAGTTAGGGAATTAGGAATGCATAACACTTTTATCTGTTGAACTATGAGATGTCTAATTTGCACCTTTCTTAAAGCAATTCCAAAGGTTCATGTCATTTTATTTTTTTAAATAACAAACATGTCTATACTTACCTAATGTGTGCAGTGGTTTTGTACAAAGCAGCCTGGATCCTCCTCTTCTGGGGTCCCCGTAGGCACTTCTGGCCCCTCCCTCCTGTTGGGTGCCCTCTCAGCAAGCAGCTTGCTATGGGAGCACCTGCTACTCCGTGTGTCTATTCACACACGGAACCATGGCTTGGCCCTGCCCCCTCCCTTCTTATTGACTTGACTGGCTGTCATTGACAGCAGTGGGAGCCAATGCCTCCTGCTTGCTGTCTCAGCCAATGAGGAGACAGATACCCGGGACAGCCGAGGCTGTAATTCACATCGCTGGATCGCGATGAGGCTCAGGAAAGTACTGAGGGGGCTGGGGGCACTGCTGCATACAGAGGTTTTTTACCTTCATACTGTACATAGAATGCATGAAGGTAAAAAAAAACCTTCAGCCTTTACAACCACTTTAAGTAAAGTATTGAATGTTGTCCTTGCCTGGTCTGAATTTACTAAAGAAGTGTATATCAAGTAAGGGCACACATAGTTCACTGAGTGGGTATTAAAACGTTGGGGTATGAAGCCACTGGTTTGGAATGGAGTAGTGTGAAGACATACTGTAAGTAGAATAAAAGAAGTGTAACAAGCTCCCTGTCGATAGCGTGTGTACCAGTTATAGGTGGAACAGCCCCTAGCAGCGAGTTCCCATAGCAACAGGAGCGAATTGCACCGCAGAGATTCTCCATCCTGTACAGAGGTATGGAAGTTCAAGAGCTGCATTAAGTGAACATGTGGAGCCCGTGCAGAGCGCACGGCGGGGTCCACTTCGCTACTGGAGAATTGATCTTGAAAACGCTAGACAAGTGGATCTGGACATTGGCTTAGCATGACTTTCCTAAATTGCCTCTCAGGGGATCAGAAAGGAATATTTCTCCCTGTAGGTGGAAATTGGATCATGCTTAGCTGGGGTTTTTACCTTCCTCTGTGGGTATAGGATTATATTTTTCTTTTCTTGCCTTTTATGGTTGAACTAGATGGACTTGTGTCTTTTTTTAGCTAGACTAACTATGTAATTACAGTATGTAAGGTTACAAAGATATATACTGTCACGGGAATAGAGAGTTAACTGGAGAACAGTTACCGTGTCAGTGTACCTGATATATCTTTAAGACTGGAGGCAATGATGGCTCTGCGCCCCCAGGCAGTCTAGGATATCTAGACTAGAAGTAAACCAAGCGAAATGTAAGGCTACGTGCCTAGAGCGGGCTCAGGACACCTTGGCCTACTATTCTTGGCAAGAGACCCTTAGCAAAGTGTCCTCCTCTAAAAAAAGAAATGCTACATCAGTCTCAGCATATTTTTGTACATGGAGAGAAGAATGGTAAATTGCTTGCCTGGCTGACCAGAAAACATCTTGCCCCCACCACTATTGCTAGGATTCGGTCTTCAATGGGTGACATCATTACAGATCCGGTCTTGATTAATGAATGCTTTGTCTCCTATTATCACTCCCTTTACAGTTCTAAGACAATGTATACAGATGGTAAACTGGCTTCTTATTTGGCCACAGTGGACCTCCCCTTTCTGACCCCTACCTAGATAGTCTGATCACGGTTGAGGCTCTTTTGTCCCTTCAAGCTGGTAAAACCTCTGGCCCTGATGATCTTCCTGTAGAATTCTATAAAGCCTATGCGGAGAAGTTGGTGCCATGTATTCATGATATGCTTTGTAAATCCCTGGCCACTGATGCCCTCCCGCCTACCATGTCTGAAGCGGTGGTGTTAGTGCTTCCCAAGCATGGTGGGAATCCAGACTTATGTTCCTCATATCATCTGATCTCCTTGTTAAATGTGGATACTAAGCCAATCTTAGCCAAGATTCTTGCTTCTCATTTCAACAAGGTTATATTGGCCTTAGGTGATGCGGATCAGTCCGGATTCATCCCGGGCAAAGGAACTAATATAAATGACGAAAAGGCTTTTGATTCTGTGGAGTGGACCTAACTCTGGGCTGTCCTGGAAAAGTTTGGGTTTTCGCCTTGATTCATCTCCTGGATATGAATGCTTTACTCTTCCACATCAGCCAAGAATCACAGCAATAACAAACTATCCTATTCCTTTCCTCTTCACTGTGGTACATGCTAGGGCTGTCCCCTGAGCTTTTCGCCCTGGCCATGGTACCCTTGGCAGCTATCCTACACTCTGCTCTGCGGTTCAGGGTATTTAGGTGGGCTCCATTATTGAAAAAGTGGCACTATATGCGGACAATGCTCTTCTGTTTTTCAGTGACCCCTATTCTTCACAGCAGTCCACTCTTTGGGTGGCGAATGAGTTTGATACCTTCTCTGGGATAAGGATCAATTGGACAAATCCATCTAATTCTCTCTTGGACATTGGCCTGCTTCACCTGTTACTGACACTCCATTGCAATGGATCACAGAGTTTAAATACTTGGGGATTCGTATTAGTAACCATCTCCAATCCTATGTGGATCTCATCTTACTCCTCCTGCTTTGATCCCTATCTCAGAGATGCGCCACTTGGCATACCCTTCCACTATCTATGGTGGAAAGAAATAACCTGCTAAAAATTATTTACTTTCCTTAGTTTTTCTACTTTTTTTAGAAACACACCTGTTTGCAAATCTTTTTTTTTTTTTTTAAACTGGATAGTATTGGTGGTTTATTTATTTAGGCTGGCAAGCCCCCCCGGCTAGCCAAATCCACATTAAAACTTTCCATTTTCCAGGGGGGATTTTCTTTGCCTGACTTCTGTCTATACTATTGGTCTGCAGTATCACTTATGGGTGTGATGGTGGTTCTTGCAGCCAAGGGACAACCCTTACGCTGGAGGTGACCACTGTCGGCTCTTACATTACTCTTAATAATCTAGTCCTCTGAGGCTGTGGGCCCCTTCTGCACCTTCTGAAGAAAACCACTAACATGATGTGGCAGCAGGTGCGGGCTCAGTATTGTCAACCTTCTATATTTTCCCCTCATACTCCCCTTTGAGCCAAGTCTAATTTGCCTCACCTGGCTATGTTGCCTGACCCCCAACTGTGGGCTGCTCAAGGGATAGCAGAACTCAAACATATCAGGTCTAATGGCAAGCTGCGTGCTTTGCAGATCTTCAAGCTGAATTTCACCTGTGCAAGCGGGTGTTATTCTGCAATCTGCAACTCAGACATGTGGTGCTCACACAATTTCCAGCCAATGTCACATTTGAATTTGATCCCTTGGAGTGTCTCTTCACCTCTCGGACCATGGGGTAGCCTTCGTCCTTGATCTATCTTTGCCTCTCCATGGCTCATTCGGTGAGACTGACTAAGCTGTTTTCCAAATGGCAGGCAGACCTTCCTGATTTTACTGAGGAAGATTGGGATGTATGTACCACTCACTATGTTACTAATATGGTCTGGGCCAAGGTTAGGTTTATTCAGGTTAACTTTCTCCACAGAACTTACCATACCCCTGTTCGCTTGGCTGGTATATATGCCTCCTTTAGCCCCCTATGCACTAGATGTCAGCAAGCTGAAGGTACTTTTGCCACATGGTTTGGACCTGCACTAAACTTGGGGGATTTTGGACATCTGTCTTGAATGTCATTAAACACACATATGACTTGGCCTTGATTCTGGACCCTAAAGTGTTGCTTTAGGAGTGATGGACAGTGCAGAGCTCAGTAGCTACATTAAAGTATTTGTATTTTTTTCTTCCTTTATGTGGTACACTCCTTAAATGTATATCACTACCCCCTTAGGAGTTGCAAAGAGATTTCGGGTCCTCCTATAGTCCTGCACAGTCAGCCAACAACCATCTTTGCATAGACTTCCATCCAGAGTCAGAAATCAGTCCTTGAGCTTTGGTTTTGTTATTTCTATTTAGGGGATTTGAACTGGGATAGG